TTTATGGATTATATTTAAATTTTTATAGAAGATTTTCAATGTCCAGTTGTATGAGTTATCAACTTTGTTAGCTTATCGGTAAATGGATTTTTTCAAATTAGAATTTGAAAATTATGTTTGATTCAACTTTGTTATTTTTCCTTGATAATTATGAATTTAATGATTTTTAGCTATATTTCATTTTTTGTTTTAGAGTTCCGATGTTTCTCTACCTTATTAAGGTAGGTTTCAGACCTATATAAAGACTTGTATACCATCTAGAAAGGAAGACTTGATGATATTAATATTTTAGAAATAAAATAAAATTTTAGTACTCTTTATATTTAAACTTTATTTTGACCAATTATTTTTTTTTTTTTACTCATTATTATCCTTATTAAACTTCCACGTGTATAAGTTGGTTTAAGAGCTCAACAATCCCAAGCTATTTCTTATCATGTGTTGTAATCTCACGTTATTTTTTCTATCTTTTTTAAGAATGCTTTCATGTCTATAAAAAAAAACTTATAAATCTCATTTATCATATTAATATTTCAAAAATAAAATAATATTTTAGAGTTCTTTGTGTTTAGACTTTATTTTGGCCAATTTTTTGCCTTTATGTTATCGTTGCTCTGATTGTCATGCTTTCACGTGCATCAATAACCTTGTTAGTAGGAAATAGAATAGTCCTGGCCTATTTAAGATATTTATATCATTGGAAATTGTTAGGTAAATTTTGTCTATTACAATATCAATAAACTAGAATAATTTACACAAAGCACAGATGAAATTATAAAATGCATGCATTATCATATGAGGATTACTGTATTTTACCAATGTCTAGTGTTTTTAGTCTACCTGACAATTTCTCCGAATTGACAGGCTTGAGCCAAGATCACACAAGTCACATTCGAAAAAATTTATTATATATCTAGCTTGCACTTACGCCTCTTGAAAAGTAAGATGGTGATATTTATCAGTGATGATCTAGTCCCTCCACTCCAACAGATGTGATAAGATGTGCATCTTCCTAGGAGTTGCCATGGTGGTTGATTGATCAGCAAACATCGAATGGAGAGAACCTGCCAGGAAAGTTCCTCACCCATCAAGGACAAGAATAGTCCAGTGTAAATTTGAATTCAAAGTACCAGAGATACTTCCAAAATGCTGCTTTATAAAAGGAGCATCCTAGTAACGTGTTCATGCATACAAAGAGAGTAACAAAGCTTGAAGTGAGCAAGTAAAGAGCGGGAAAAAAAAAAAAACAAGAAATTAAAGGGGTAGAGATGAAAGTTGAGATTGAGGAACCCAGCAGCCATGAGGCACTTCCCCTCCTCTCATTGAATCATGTATCTTTGCTGTGCAGATCAGTGTGGGCTTCTGTTAGGTTTTACGAGGATGTTCTGGGCTTTGTTCTCATCAAACGCCCCTCTTCTTTCAATTTCAATGGAGCCTGGTCAGTTCATTTACTTGCTTTGCATTTTCGGACATTAAATATACGTTCATAATTTAGTTTTAAAAACGAAATGACTGAATGTCTGATTAAATGCAGGTTGTACAATTATGGTATCGGAATACATTTGATTGAGAACCCATCAATTGATCATGAGTTTGACACCATCGTCGAACCACGTCCGATTAATCCCAAGGATAATCATATGTCCTTCCAAGTAAGATTTACGAGTTCCAAGCTTGAGGAAATTAAGAAAATGTGCAACTATAATTGCGGTGATACTGATGTGAGTCTTCTTTTTTTTTCTTTTTTCTTTTTTCTTTTTTTGAACAACAGTGCACCGATGTTGGCCTTGTCAAGAGGAGGCTGCAAGAAATGGGAATGAGGTATGTGACCGCTGTGGTGGAAGAAGATGGCATCATGGTGGATCAGGTGTTCTTTCACGACCCAGATGGTTACATGGTTGAAATCTGCAACTGTGACAGCATCCCAATCCTTCCTCTCTCATCCTGCCCAGTCAAGCCGAGAATGGGAAGTTTCAAGAAAGCAGCACCAAGTAACTGTGGGTTCATGGAGAAAGTGATGATGGAGAGCTTGAGCATGGATATGATGAACATTTCATTCTGAGTCGCAGAAACAATGATCACTGATCAACAAGTTCGACTTGCTTTTGCCTGTCAAGAAAAAAAAATTATAATTGTCCTGTTGCAAATGTATTTTACTACAAGTCCTGTACGTTGCAGGTCTAGTCTTGGGTGATGAAGAGTGAATATTTTGGTCATCTGGTACTCAATTTTAAAAAAACCTGTGAGCCTAGATGTGGCTTTTGCATGTCAAAGTGCAAATACATGGTGTCATCGAAAGTTTTTTTTTTATTGATTTAATGAAATCCTGTAATATGTTCAGTATTGAATTTTCCAATTGCATTTTATTTTTAAGAAAAGAAAGAAATGATGCATTTAGTCAAAGTTGACTAATTATTGGAGGCCAAGCAATTAAACAGTGCTAATTGCTACAGAATATTCTTTGGCATCCATCATTCTCCACAGGTGATTTTAATCACATCCCTGAACAGTCATAGTTGATTAATTGTTGGAGGCCAAGCAATTAAACAGTACTAATTGCTGCAGAATATTCTTTGGCATCCATCATTCTTCACAGGTGATTTTAATCACATCCCTGAACTTTGAATTTCTAGGCTACTGAAATTCAATTAAATTAAAGAAAAACTAACAGAGCTAGGCAATCCAATGCATTCACGTACACACAATCGTGTTGTGTATTTGTTTAGGGCAATTTGTTTTCTTATTTTCTCAAGTCACATAATTTCCTTTTATTTTATTTTATTTTTTCATATTAATTTTATTCGAGATTAGCTTGATAATTTATTTTAATGGACTTGATGTGATGTTTTTATAGCTAGAAAAGCATCTTGTCAGTAAACTGAGACTCAGTTGAAAAAAAAAAAAAAAGTTTTCATTATAGTTCTTGGAAACCACATGTGTTCTAGGATTTCGGTGTATTTTTTTATATCTGGTTGTGAATTCACAGGGGATATTTTTATCATGGTACTATGGCGTCCACAAGTATATTTACATCAACAGTAAAGGAGCTGCAGGCCTGAGTGGGGCTATGTTTACATTAAAGTTTCAACAAATTTTGAATTTTTTTATTTTTTAGATTATTTTAATATATTGATATTAAAAATAAATTTAAAAAATAAAAAAATATATTTTAATATATTTTAAAAAATAACATCAACCACATTTCTAAACATTTGCTAACATTGTTATATATAGTACTTTACACAAGTATTTTTTCTTGAAATATATTAAAAATATTTTTTATTTTAAATATTAGGATATTAAAATTATTAAAAAATCAAAAAATAAATATTAATTTAATATTTTTAAAACCAAAATATATTTTTTAACAAACAATTACAAACATAAAAATAAACGATGAAATTCTAAAGGGTAGCTTAACTGGTCAAGTTTTGGATTTGTTCTTTAATTGTCATGAGTTTGAATTCCCTAAATAACACTTGAAATTTACATAATTATTAATTTTAATTTTAAGATTCGTAGGATAAATCAAAATATATACAAATTGACCTAAATCTGTATTAATAAAAAATTAAAACAAGAAATATAAAGAATCTTAGAAATTGAATGCCATTACCATCATCAATATAATGTAGAATCTAATGCAGTGTTTGGCATTATGGTTGAAAAATATTTTTAAAAAATTTAAAATTTTTACATTTCTAAACATTTGCATAATGTGTTTAACATTGTTATATATAGTGCTTTACAAAAGTATTTTTTCTTGAAATATATTAAAAATATTTTAAAAATATTTTTTTATTTTTAATATTAGGATATTAAAATTATTAAAAAATAAAAAAATAAATATTAATTTAATATTTTTGAAACCAAAATATATTTTTTAACAAACAATTACAAACATAAAAATAAACGATGAAATTCTAAAGGGTAGCTTAACTGGTCAAGTTTTGGATTTGTTCTTTAATTGTCATGAGTTTGAATTCCCTAAATAACACTTGAAATTTGTATAATCATATAATCATTAATTTTAAGATTCATAAGATAAATTAAAATATATACAAATTGACCTAAACCTGTATTAATAAAAAAATAAAACAAGGACCGTAAAGAATCTTAGAAATTGAATGTCATTACCACCATTAATATAATGTAGAATCTAATGCAGTGTTTGGCATCATGGTTGAAAAATGTTTTTAAAAAATTTTAAATTTTTTATTTTTTTAAAATAATATGTTTTTATATTTTTAGATAATTTTAATATATCAATATTAAAAATAAATTTTAAAAAATAATCTTTACCACAATTTAAATCTTTTTTCATGTGAGTGTGAGATTTCACCACATTGGAGCATTGGCATGTCACAAACATCAAGGCAAGGGATGCCACGATGCCTTGCCATATCTTCTTACATCCACCCTTGATGACCGTGGCGCTGAAATGTTTATTTGCTCAGGGGGCAATATCTTCGCATTGCATACATAATTGTTTTTTATTTTCACTTTTGATTTTTTTATATAAAAACCATGTTGTATATATATTTTAAAAAATAGTTTTTTTTAACATGATTTTTATATAAAAAAATCTTGTATATGAGAAAGATTTGACGTGCTGTAGAACATAGATGAGACAGCTATTATAGAAATATTACAGGAATTGTTTTTTAGTAATTGTAAAAGAGCGGTTTAATTTACACATTTCTCTACTAATTTTTCAATACTTTAAAATTAATAATTATATAAATTTTTAATAATTATAAAATTTATTACATTCAAGCTAATATCTTCAAGAGAATAAATTCATTAGCATATCAATTCAGCTAATATGACAGGATTTGATAGGAGATGCCTTTGTCTGAACGGACGGCTAGGCTTCAAAGAAAATTTTGCAAGAGCTATGTAAAGAAATGGACCCCTTGTCAGAAATCAAAATGGTGGGCAAGAATAAACTCAAAGGCACTATCATCCTCAAAAACAAACCCCACTGCCTTTGAAGCTTGTGGTCACAGAGACTGAAACAAAGGTCTGAGAAAATATAAACTAAGAAAAAAAACAAAAAACCTCATTTCTTGAGCTGTGCACCTACTCCAACCACATGTATCATCATCTCTTGTTAGAATATCTCCAGGCCCCTCTTCACCCCTCCATATTATGTCCCTCTCTTTCTATCACCACGAACAACAAAAACATTAACATTTGATAGACAACTTAAAAATCAAATAGTGAAGCTGTGTCTTGTTGTGGTGCTTGTTGTCTTTATTAAAAGAAACTGTACGTAAATATTTTTCTATTTTGTTGATTTTGGAGAAATGAGAGTGAGAGGTAATTATGCGTACCCTTTGTGACGCTTGTGAAAGTGCTTTTGCTATTGTTTTCTGTGCTGCTGATGAGGCCGCACTTTGCCTTGCCTGCGATGAGAAGGTATGCTTTGCTTCCTTTTACAACTGTTCTTGTTTGTGATCCTGATGTTGAAACATGAAAATCATTTATTATTTGGATTTTTAGTAGGTTTGTGGGTGGTTCTATTTATTGGGCCAATTGTTTATTTTCCTCATGCTAATTATCAGTGTCCTAGAGAAAGGAACTCTGCTCCTGACTCTGCTGCGACTAATTAAGCTACCAATCTGTATAAAGTTTTACCAGAGACATTTAAGTAGAAACATCTCACAATTGTTTCATCTTCGATAGGAAATGATGGATGTTGGACACTATTTCTTGTAGATGCTTTTCTTAGGTTTCTTCTCTTGTATCAATAACCACATAACTTCCCCTGAGTCGAAATTTGAACTTGACATTGCTGCTTCTACAACTCATATAGAGGCTTTAGGAATTTGAAATTGGTCAATATTGTTGGTGAACATCTGATATTAAAGTTTTAGTCTGTCAATTGGATTGGCAGGTCCATATGTGCAACAAACTTGCGAGCAGGCATGTTCGAGTGGGTCTGGCGAATCCCAGTGAAGTTCCTCCTTGTGATATATGTGAAAATGCACCTGGTATGCAGGCTCTTTCTCGTATATTCTCTCCTTTAAGGCTGAAGCATTCATTAATTTGGTATTTTGGACAAGGGTTTGAACTTTGAACGTATGTTTTCTGCTTCAAAACGTGCATGCATGCAGCTTTCTTCTACTGTGAGACAGATGGAAGTTCCCTTTGCTTGCAATGTGATATGACTGTTCATGTTGGAGGTAAAAGAACACACAGGAGATATCTTCTGTTGAGACAAAAAATTGAGGTTTGTCATTGTTTTCTGTAGAGAACTCCAACAATTTTCTTCCTTTTATGTCTAATTCCCTTAAAATTTGATTTCTCTGGTTGTTCATAGTTTCCAGGGGATCAACCTCAGCCTGAGGACCCAGCACCGCAACCTATGTATCCAGGGGAGACAAGAAGAGGACAGAATAGGCCACAAAAGGCAACAGCAGGAGAGAACAGACAGAATCTCCAAGTTTCTCCAGTTCTGATGTCGGTCACTAATTCTGATGGGCATGATAAGGTGGATAAGAAAATGATTGATTTGAATATGAAGCCTCATCGAATTCATGAATATGCTTCAAATAATCAGGTTATTGTATTTTCATCATCCCTTTGCCTGAATTGCATCTGACTTTATCTGTATGATCTACTAAAGATAAGGGCACATTTTGCATCCAAAGAAATGGATTATTGGATGCTATCTATTTATATTGCTTGCCATCTGAAGGTACTTGGCTCATTGGAAAAAATTACCGTCGATGAAAGAGTACAAAACTATAATATTTTTAAACTTCAATGGTTAGAACATAAAAAGTTCCAGTAAAAGATGTGAAGGTGGACTGGGCTGATTTTTCAAATTCAAACTTCAATGGTTAGAACCTGGGTTGTTCTTTCTATGTGAAATGTGAATCCGGAGGAAAGTAATAAGCATAAGACCTAATCGTGTATTCTGTTATCCAAGAATACCACTTGAGACCTCTTACCTCTTTACAGGAACAATAATATTTTTATGTTAACGGGAGTGGTCGCGAAGCTGAAAGCAGGATTCCTATGTTGCCTGGAAAGCTGGAGAAGAGCAGGGTTTTTTCTATGCTTCTCTTATCAAGTAGTTGGCATTTCATGTTTCACTATTTCATTTTCTTCTCTCCTGTTTTCCTTTGATATGGATGATGTGCTTTTAAGTCTTGCGGATGGATTTTTACCAATGATGCGGTTTAGTTGTTTAGACAAGCTTTGGACGGTATACACATATGCTGTGAAAAACCTGCAGTAATTACAAATGAATACTGTAATGCGAGAGAATCTAGAAATAATATAAGATTTAATATGCTTCGACAATATATTTATATCCATAGAAGCAAGGAGCTTTTATTTACACTATATTAAAATAGTGTTACATAATATGTATTTATAGTAGATTCTAAATCGTTCAAAAAATCTTAAACGCACAAGAAATTCTAGGAGTATTAATTTGTTTTTATAATACCCCTCTACCATACCACAATGGTGTTGCCCCATACTCCCCAGCCTATGAATCATTCCTGCAACAAAATAAGAAATAAATCTCAGAGAGTCAGTTATCATTGCTCCGCTCCGCTCCGGCATTTACCTGTAAGCCACAAACAATGTAAAGCACAAGATGTAACCAAGTGTATAATGCTCACAGAGACGACGTTGCAAGACATTTCTTGAAAGTCTAGAGAATTTGCTATACTATTTCAAAATATTGCGAATGTAAGTTTCCAACTGTTCTTTGTCTTAGTTTTAGATGGCGAAACGTTGTTTTTGAAAGCAGACTTCCGATCCATCTCAGAATCCATCCAATGGTGAAACACTGCCTTTCGCATCTTTTGGCTCAGATATGAATTCATTTCGAGAAGACCAGAAATGCTATTGAGCCTACATTCTGAATTTTAGAGGGAACTTGTCCCGTATACAATCTAAAAGAAGGGCGGTTATCGTAGGAAAGTTGACACATTTGTTCTCTCATATTACATTAATTTTAAATAGAGATTACAACATCATAGTATCTGCTAGAGATCACGGTGTTATGAAAAAAAGATTATGGCAGACAAAATCATGGGGACATGATCACAATATCGATGAAGAGCATCTCCATGCCCCCTTTAACTCAAGGAAAGATTGGACCGAGAAGAGCTTGTGGCAATTAGGAACAAACCTGGGAGTAGTTAATTGTTTTGTTAGAATATTGACAATATGTTCAGGACCTCATAAGATATGTGTCAGGAAAAGAGTGTCACGAGAAACTAATTCCCAAACAAAGTAAACATCGATCTCGATATGCTTAGTGTGATAAAGAAAAAGTAACATTTTCCCCCACAAGCATTCTTCCTGCTTGCTTCTGGGGATAACATGATAACATACGAGTGGTCTGGTCTAAGCAAATGCTTCCACCATTTATCCTCGTTGTGTTAAGCAAATTATGCTTTTCAAAATGGAAGAGCTTCCTTAAGCTCGTGTACTGATAAAACTGGAGAACATCAAATCAGCTACGGGATGAATAACCTGATGCGTGAAGAAGGACAAAAATCATTTTTTTACCAAATCTGCAATCTCCTTGCACAAGTTTGGATGACCATCAAAGATGTTAATGTACTCCTATCTTCAAAATAAGAAGGTTTCTCCAGTCAACTGAGAAGTCAAAAAGATAAATGAAGACCATGTCGTTTTGTGCTGTGGAAAAATGGAAATCATTCCGTTGCCGGGACTTGAACCCGGGTCTCTCGGGTGAGAGCCGAGTATCCTGACCACCTAGACTACAACGGATTTGATTCTTTATTCGAAGAACTTGATTCCTTTTATTTTCAACCATTACTAGTTTTCCACATTAAAAATAATTTTTATGCAGCTTTAAAATGAATAATTGTTAACGATACTCTGAAAGGTATAGAAATAATATTGTAGCTTTTTTCATGTTTATCATTTTTATTATACTAATATTTTTTGTTATTTTCTTTTCTCATGATTGATCTTTAAAAAAATATATATTTTTTTAAATTATTTTTGTTGTTTTTTTTAATATTGAACTAACTAAAAATTTACCTTTGACATTTAAAAAATATTATAAATTGCTATAATATTTTCTTATATGGAAGTCTATTAAAATGTTTTTAAATTTTTAGCTTGCTTGAACAGGTGAATTGGGATTGAGAAAGAATTTTTTTTTTTTGTTTTTTGAACTAATTTATTGATATTTTGAGTTGAGAGATTGATTTATTGATATAGTAATAATATTTATCAAGTGTTTTTAAATGAAAATAAATTGAAATAAGATTTTTTGGATTCAAAAAAATCCCAAAATCAAATTTCCAACCACCTATCCAATATTTTTTTCCTTCTTTTTATGTTTTTTTCCTCTAAGAAGGTCCTTTTCAGTTTTTTTTTAATATTGAGCTGGTTAAAAATTTAACTTTGTAGTTTTTTATTAGAAAAATATTATAAATTACAACAATTCTTTCCCCGTGTAGTTTTTGTTTTGATATAATATTTTTTTACATGTTTTTTTAAATTATTTTAGTTAAATTTATTTTTTTAATATTGAACTAATTAAGAATTTAGCTTTAGCTTTCCCTATATATTTTTTTTATTTTTTTAGTTTGCTTTTTTGTTTTTTCCCAAAATTGTCTTCTTGTTTTTTGTTTTTTTTTTGTTTTTTTAAAATTATTTTTATTGATTTTATTTTTTTAATAGTAAGCTAGTTGAGAATTTAACTTCGTAGTTTTTTCTTTAAAACACTGTTAATTGCTATAGTGTTTCTCTGTATAGTTTTGTTCTTTTTTCTTTGTTTTTTTTTCTATAATTATCTTTGTCAATTTTAGTTTTCTTCATATTGATTTAGTTGATAATTTAGCTTTGTAATTTTTTTCTTTAAAAAAAAAAGTATGGATTGCTATAGTGTTTCCCCACATGATTTTTTCTTACTATAGTGTTTCCCCACATATTTTTTTATTGATTATTTTTTAAAATTATTTTTGTCAAATTTATTTTTTTAATACTAAGCTGATTAAAAATTTAGTTTTGTATTTTTTTTCTTTAAAACAACGTTGATTGCTAAAGTGTTTTTCCATATAATTTTTTTTGTTATAATTTAAAAAAAAAAACTATGATTTTTTTATAAATCTATGACAACGCACAAGCATGTCATAAGCTCGCGGCAATGCGCGAGCATAACAACTAGTTATTAACTAAAATTTATTTGTTTTATATAAAGTAATTTTTAAAAAAACAAATTTGTATTTATTTGTTAAAGAAAAATTTAGTTTGATTTTCAAGAAAATATTTTTCTTTTATTTTGGATAGAAAACATTGTTCAAAAGTTGTGAAAAAAATTAGAAATATCATGTTATCTATTGATTATATCAAATTTAATCATTAAAATTTTAATTGTTATATATTTTGTTTTAAATCTTTTTTTTTCAATTTTAACCCTTAAAATTTAATTTGATTTGTTTGTTATATCAACTTTATTCTTTATTTTTATAAAAAAAATTTTCTTGTCATTTTTTTAATTGAAATTTTTTTATTTTCTTTTCTCATGATTGATTTTTTTTTTAAAATGTATTTTTTAAATTGTTTTTATTGTTTTTTTTAATATTGAACTAACTAAAAATTTATCTTTGACATTTAAAAAATATTATGCATTACTATAATATTTTCTTATATGAAAGTTTATTAAAATGTTTTTAATTTTTTAGTTAGCTTGAAAAGGTGGATTGGGATTGAGAAAGAATTTTTTTTATTTTGTTTTTTGAATTAATTTATTGATATTTTAAGTTGAGAGATTGATTTATTGATATAGTAATAATATATATCAAGTGTTTTTAAATAAAAATAAATTGAAAAAATATTTTTTGGATTCAAAAAAATCCCAAAATCAAATTTCCAACCACCTATCCAATATTTTTTTTCCTTCTTTTTATGTTTTTTTCCTCTAAGAAGGTCCTTTTCAGTTTTTTTTTAATATTGAGCTGGTTAAAAATTTAACTTTGTAGTTTTTTATTAGAAAAATATTATAAATTACAACAATTCTTTCCCCGTATAGTTTTTGTTTTGATATAATATTTTTTTACATGTTTTTTTAAATTATCTTAGTTAAATTTATTTTTTTTAATATTGAACTGATTAAGAATTTAACTTTAGTTTTCCCTATATATTTTTTTTATTTTTTACTTTTACTTTTTTGTTTTTTCCCAAAATTGTCTTCTTGTTTTTTTTATTATTTTTTTTTAAATTATTTTTATTGATTTTATTTTTTTAATAATAAGTTAGTTGAGAATTTAACTTTGTAGTTTTTTTCTTTAAAACACTGTTAATTGCTATAGTGTTTCTCTGTATAGTTTTGTTTTTTTTTCTTTGTTTTTTTTATCTATAATTGTCTTTGTCAATTTTAGTTTTCTTCATATTGAGTTAGTTGATAATTTAGCTTTGTAGTTTTTTTTTTAAAAAAAATATGAATTGTTATAGTGTTTCCCCACATGATTTTTTCTTACTATAGTGTTTCCCCACATAGGGTTTAGCTCACGTGTACGGGCTTTTTTACAAAATCTTCATGGTTTCTAAGCTGATTAAAAATTTAGTTTTGTATTTTTTTTCTACAAGTAAAGCTAGATTATGTGGAGAAAACATTGTGATTTTTCTCACAAAACAATTTGGATTGTTACAGTATTTTATTATATGGTTTTTTGTTGTTATGATTTATTTCAAAATTATATTTATTGATTTTATTAGATAAAGGACTGTAACTTTCATCACCAAATACTATGAATTGCTACAGTGTTTCACTTCATAGTTTTTTGGTGTGATTATTTCTAAAATTATCTTTATTAATTTTATTTTTTTAATATTACAATTACAAGTAATTATTACAAGTGAAGTCAAATCATGTGGAAAAGCACTGTAGTTTTACCTCACAACATACTGTGGATTGCTATAGTATTCCACCACATGATTATTATTTTTATTATAATTTTTTCTAAAATTATTTTTATCAATTTGATTTTTTTAATGTTGAGTTAGTGGATAATTTAGTTTTGTATTTTTTTTTATCAGTAGAAAAGCTAAATCATATAGCAACATGCTAAAACATGTAGTGAAAGTATTGTAATTTTTTTCATGAAATACTGTGAATTACTACAACTTATTTTATTCGATCTCTAAGATTTTTTATCACCAGTTTAATTTTTTTATATATAAAATATTAGCTCCATCAGAACTTTAATTTAT